CGGCACAAAAGGTTTGGGAACCAATGCTACGAATCAACAGAGATGACAAAAAATATTGTGAGCTCCGAATATAGTCACAGAAGAAGCATACATACTGTTGATAACTGTGCTATTTTAAGAGCTTGTAGCATTTGATCCTTAATAAATATCGGCATGATTTCACAGCCACAGCTGGAGTGACTTCAATCAGACAGTAAAGGGTGGAGTCCAGTTCTGTGTTATAGAGGCAACTTCTCTGTCAAGAGCTTGGCTGGGAGGATGTGAGTGAAACACAGATAGTATCAGTGACACAGGAAGCAAGCGGGACATACTTCCCGACAGTAAAGTCAACCATTTTCACGATTTAAGATAGTCAGAGCTGATTTCAACAAGTTTAGGAGAAATGTTGGAATGTACAAGAGAAGGAGGGAGATAGGGTTACAGCACAGGAGTGCTGTCATGATGACTTATGATTCTTAAGAAAAATCTAAATTCCTAAATATAACAACAACAAAAAAAAAACAGTAAATTGTCAGTTCAGTAATTCAGAAAAACAATAGGAGGGTGGACTGTGGAATTATCAGATACACAGAGAACATTATTCTGCAAATGCATTAAAATAAGTTTAATTTTTTTTTAATCTGATACCATCCATCCATCCATCCATCCATCCATCCATCCATCTTCATCCGCTTATCCGTTACCGGGTCGCGGGGGCAGCAGTCGCCACCCAAATCACATTGCACCGTACCAACCCCCTTAAACCTTCCTACGGGTGGTGAGTCCACTGGAAGGTACCAACCGCCCTAACTGGGATTCGAACTTGCCCAGGAGGTGAACCCTGAGGTTCCACTCCAATGACAGAGACGTTGCCTCTGGGCCAAAGCGCCACTAATCTGATACATTTTACAAATAAAATAATGCAATATACATGTTCACAAAAATAGCAACACTTCTTCATATTGCCAACGGTTGATTTTGGTAGTTTTTTTTCCCTCTAAGCCTCAGACTAATCAATAGCAGCCACTTTATCAGTTAAGCTTTAGCCTCAGTAAGCAGTGCAACAGTCTTGCGTCTCTGAAGGTAAATTAACTTCATCTCTACCTGGGGCTATACTGCCTGGATTTGGCACCATTCCTGTATCCGGCGTGTCGATCGGTGCTTTTGAAGGCTGGCTATCATCTGTGTTGCTCTTCCCACTGTGACCAACTTGATGATTCCCATCTTCTAGGTGAGAAGATTCTGAGTTCTTTGGGAAAGACAGGAGAGGTGAAATGTGTTTAAGACACAGGTGAGGAAAAATAATTTCACAGCAGAAGGGGTCAGTGAGAGTTCAAGGAATCAAAAGGAATCATGTAATTTTAAAATGATCTGACCCAACTTTAAACCCAATTTGTTGAATTTTATGACAGTATTTCTCACACTTGAGAAGCTCATTGAATGTAATTATTATATATATTATTATTATTATTTTCTCCACCAAACATGCTCCTTTTGCCACTTCTTTCCTCTATGTGGACTTTACACAAGTTTTAACACTTTTTTAAACTATCAAAAAGCAAACTATGTCTACTTTATCTCAAATAAGAAACTATGTTCTCTGGGCTGGAAGGGCAGCATCCACCTTTCATCCGTCCAAAGCGGATTTATTGCAGGACTTCCTCAGGAAATGTTGACAACTTGAAACCAAATCCTTCCCACTGCCCCGAGCAATAAACAAGGAGATATGCACGTCTACTCACTTCAAAAGATAACAGGGAAAAACTACCCTGGAGTACAATATTTTTTTATCTGTGGACTCTAAGAGGGCACTGGAAAGTACAGAGGCCAGAACAAAGCAAAGAGAAAGGCAGACAGAGCAGCCTCTGTAGTATGATACTGAGTAACAAAGTTGCTTTGTCTTTAATCACTTCTATGGCCTTGTCTGATCCCCGAAGTGCTTAATGTGAGACCAGATCAGTCAAGACTGCCAGAAAAAGAAAGCACAGTTAGCCTACCCCCCCACCCCTCACACAATAAGACATCAATAAGGCTGTTTATGAGCAGCTGGAAGACTTTCACTCTGTCATTTCATGAGTTAAGTAAACACTTCAAGTGCCTAATTTTTCCGACAGGATGTAAGGTATTGTGCTAATAGTTTTCATGCAATGGGGAGAGAAGATATGGCAGAAAGGACTGTTCACACAGAGAACATGTGACTGAACCACGATACGCATATGTATAAACCATTTGTCAAATTGAATTACAATTGTAGAGGCTGGAAAAAATTGGTGGCTATGTTACTATTATAAGTACTGCAATAATGTTGGAGTGCTTTCCTGTTGGCCTTGTCCAGGGGAAATGGCTAACAAGGACAGGTAGTGTTTGGTTCACTTTCACATTGCACTTTTGAATGTGCTTCACACAATCACACAATTACAACAGCTGCTCATTTGGAGCAGTACTGACCAGGAGGAGGAAGGCAAGAGGAAGAAGAAAACCCAGCTCAAGAATAAGCCAGGGCTGTAAACTGAAATTTAACACTTTAGCCAAAAAACCACTCTGATATTTTGTCTCCCCGTCCAAAATATATAAGCACCTGTGTCTACTTACTTTTCTCTTCTTTGATTTCTGTGTTGACCTGTTTTTTCTTCCCTTTCTTAGGTTTGCTGTGTAGTGCATGTTAATTGTCCAATGAAAGCTGAACTGCACCAGTGTTCACTTACAAGCAAACCAAGACAGACACCTTAGGGTAGTCCAGAAATTGGACTTTTTGGTCTTTACTCAAATGGAGGAATTTTCACCATCAGGAAATCTGTCCAATTTCAAGTGAATCAAACAAGTATCGGGGATTTTAAATATGAAAAGAATATTCCAAGTATAACATGAAAGCACAAAAACTGACTCGAGATTAAGTAACCAAAACTAGGTAGAAGTTTGTACATAAATAATAATAATAAATAATAAGAAATAATTCTAATTTATACTGTCCATTAAAAATGTTTTGTTTTGTTTTTATAAGATTTTCCCATAAAATACAGGGAATGCAAGACAGTCTTTGCTCCTTCTCCAGTCTTCATGATTTTCTTAATCACATGCTATCACAAACTGTATCACTGGGTCTGCTTACACTGAGCTGCTTGTTGTTTTCATTCCGGATGCTCTCAAAAGTGTACTTCTCCGAGCGCCTCTGGCGCATCTTAAAGAGACGGGAGCCACGGTTTGAAGAGAGAGACAGCTCCTCCAGCATAATTTCTTTTGGTACGCTCATCTTCTTGCCCAGATCCATCTCGATATCTGAAGACAAAGAACACAAACAGTTATCTTTGGCACATTTTATTTTTATGAAATACTCACAGTATTACAACAACTGCAAAATGTCCCTTTGGAGGACCGTTGGTTCCCAAACTGTTGCCCTTTGACCAACATTACACTTTACATGAAGTGTCATCTTTCCTCCATTCATGCCTCATGCTAATTTTGTGGTACCGCATACAACCTACTGCATTCTGTTTGTGTATATGTCACCGGTCTATATCTGAATCTGAGACATCTAATTTGCCAGAATATCTTTCAGCTGTCAGTAGTCTTCAGGCCTAGAGGACAAAATACTCTTCCTTCCCCCTTAAATAGCAATAGTTGAAAAAGATAACGACAAAAGGATTAGTTACTTTGGCCCATAAAAATATTCCTTCGCTTATTTATAGTCAGAGAGGGTTGGCAACTGCTGAACTCATGTTGAAGAGTGGCAGAGCTGGTGTTTATAGAAGAGTTGAAACTACGTGTGTGTTAAAAGCTACAGTGTTTATTTCACTTACATGTTAATGTGTGAAAAACAACACAGGTTCAGAGGTAAAAGGAGCAAGATGTGAAGGAAAAAGAAGTCGTCGAGTGGTCACAGAGACGAGAAAACAAGAAAGTGAAGAGGAAATGACATGGCTACCTTCCTGGCCATGAAACTCCCGGCAGATTGCTGCGGCCTGAATTTTCCTCTCCCTGGTCGACATGGTAGAGAACTGGGACATGGCTGTTCACTGGAGGACTGGGGGTGAGGCAGAGAGTCTCAGGGGTCAGTGCACATCAGTGTAACCTGCACAAACATGTGAGACACAAAAGCAAGACAGCATGGCGGGCATGCGGAGCATCGATCAGCCCACATCGAGCTTCAGCACCATGCACAGACGTTCACTGAAGCAGACAGAATTTATTGGAGCAGTGAAAAGGGCAAAGTTAGCACATCCCTTTAAATAACCTTGGGCTGTTAAACGGTGAGCACATGCTCTTCAGACATGGCAACCTGCTGTGTCAGAGGTCCAGGGATCAATATGTTTGTAATGACCAATGTGGGCTGAAAGGACACATTTAGAGACCACACTGCTGTCAGGGCAAACATGCGACAGAGTGGATCGAAAGAAAAACATGTAAAAAGTTTACAAGCTTAAATTAACGTGACAAACAGGACAAATTTGTTCCATTTCTCCCTGCATTAAAATACTGATGTTACTGCACACACAATGTTGAGCCCCAAAAGATGACATTGGTAGGCAGAAGAAAACAAATTTGCTTGGCTTGTTGGCTTCTATAAAATAAAACAAACTAATGAAAACAAACAAAAAACTAGTTATGAAGTGATGACTTACCTGTCCTGAAGGAGCCTCAGAAGAAAGGAGTCTCAGTTTGTGCCTCAGGGTAGGAAGTCAGAAAGGTGAGAAGCGAGTGACTCCCACTGGATACGAGGGCGATCTTTCTCCCCAGCAGTGGGGGCTGCAGTCAGACCTTGTCCGCCTCAGTGGCTGACTGAATAAGTTGGTGGGTGGGTTGGTGTGTAAACTTGTCTGTTGTCATTGGTATTTAGTTGACAAGCTGAGAGGTGTCTAAATTTAGGACACTACCACTGCTGCCCATCATCTACAGTATCCATGTGCTGTGATTATAGTATTGCTTAAGATGGTCAGTAGGATATTATTGAATCCAAAAAGTGGAACTTGTAGCTCCTGGTGCTCAGTTCAGCGGGAGGTGGGTAAAACAAACATGCATTAATACAGTTGGTTGTTTGTTTTTTATAAAAATGTTTAGATCAGATGTCTTATTGGAGGGCATTGCTGAACAAGAGTATTTGACAAATACCACAACCTTCACAGCTCACCTGAATTCCTATGTAGGACATATGCAGATGCAAATTAGGCCGAAAAGCGGCTTGCCTGTGTGATCCACGTAAACTGCACATATGTTGAGCATCTAGTTTCTATATGGGCCCATTATATTACCACAACTCTGGCCTTTTTACTTGAGAAAATGTACTTGTTACAAAATAATGTGTCATGTTAACGTTGGACCTGAAGTTTGACACTATAAGAACTAGTAATTATTTAAATACATATGGCATTATTCTCTTTATAAACAATAATATTATTTACGATCATGTCAAAAGCCACATCTACTTCCCAAATATTTGTTCACTAAGCATTGAATAAGCTGTGGACCCTGTGACTTTAAAAACAAACAGTAGTGTTCTGCTGGATTGTTGTAGCATTGCAAACATCCATGAATTTAAACTGCATTAAATGACCGTAATAACTCCTGGAAAACACTGACCAAGCATCACATTTTTTCCTGATGCCTTTGTATAGATACCAGCTCACCCCAATTACAGAGCACAGCCAACAGGATACTATGTACATATGTACACTGCTACAGACAACATGACAGTATAGACCCCTCAGGGCCTGCAGACCAATCAGATACTATTTGTTTTCAATGCCATCAAGTGATACAGCAGGCACAGCAAGACCTAATAGGATGCACTTATCTTATAATCCAGTCAATATGTTTTAATTGACTTTGCAAGATTTCATTTTCCTCCCCTACACCATACTTCTTTACTGGACAAGAAGGTAAACAAATGGAAACAGGAGCACGTGTTATGAACGAGTCAGGGCTGATATTAAAAGGCAGCAGATTCACTGGTGTACTGCAACTTATACAGTATAACAACACCAGCAGCCCTGCACACAACAAGGAATATACATTTATTTTATGGTACATTGCTCACATTTAGGCTCCACCTTTAACAACATTCAACTCCTAAGTATTGTTCCCTAAATCTAAATTGCCAGAGGAATAATTCTTGTTTATGGCCTTCCCTTGCGTTCTTATCTCTTATTCCCTCCTGGTCTAGCAACACTAAGTACCCACTGTTGTTATGCAACGGGTGGTCTCCATGGGAACAACCCCTCTCCACACCCCTCCGGATCTGGTCTGCTTGATATGGTGCAAGTAACTGTTGAAGAGAACACATCGCACCGAGAGCATCACAGCACGCTACAGCAGGCAACAAATGGGCCAGAGCAAAGTATTTTATGCTGGAAGAAAAGAACCAACATAGTGCACTTGTTTGTGCATTGGTGCCCATTTGTTTTTATTTATCTGTGAAAAGATGTAGGAACAGATATGCATCGCTGTACTGGCACTACAAGTGTCGTTTGAATGGAAGAAATGCAGCAAAACCTTGACAACAACCCAACTGGACACATTGGTGCTCAGTCAGTCGGCTAACACAACACAACAATGTGTGATTAAAACCTTATTTGGATTAATGCAACATGACAAAAATCACATTTGAACATGCACTCGGTGGAAAGTCAAACTTTTGGAAATGATTTCAAGTGTGAATTAAATAACAAGACAGAAACGGTGACAGTGAAATGTTCAGTTATTACAAACTCAATGCAAGAAGTCGCTTTACTTAAAGAAGTGGCCAATCAGGATGTTGTAATTCCCTCCATTTTGAGCTAATCAGAGTTCTTTCGACTTACTGGGTCTACCAGCTATATGAAGCTGCACTGATTAAAATGCTGCTGCAAATTATTCTGAGTTAATAGAGCTCACACAACAATATGTCCACCCACCACATGCTGAGTTACGGCGCTAACCTTTCTGCAAGTTTTAAGCCCCGCTGCTAATGCATCACTAATTGGATCCTTACAGTGAAATGACTTTCCAATCTGAAATTATTCATGGACTAAAATTAAAAGTCAAGAAACAGCAAATAATATGTGCACAAATACTGTAGGAACAGCATGCTACGTACATTCATCTACAGCAGAAACTGAGAGCAGATTAAAAAACAAACTGAAAAGTTTGAAAAGAAAATTCATACACCTTCTAATTCTACAACCTTGGATTCCTCTTTAAGCATCTCTTCGTCTTCCAGGACACCAAAAACCAATTTAATCCAGTCTCAAGGTTTAGCTAAAAACTTAGTCATTATCCTTCATCATATCCATGTTGTCTACTAGTTGTCACTAATTACTCAAACTCCTGCACTCCATCCAGATAACATTACCATTAGCATTCACCATTTCTGTTCTCCAAACATTCACTGTTCTTCATTTTAAGTCACTATACATTAAATACGGACCTGCCTTTTCCACATTTGATTGTCTAAAGCAAATATTTCTGACACAAATCTTTTTTTTTTCATTTTTCTATTTCTAAGAAAAAAATGCAATTGAAAAATCTAAATCTGGAATTTGTATTTTCTATTCTACACTAGAATAACATATCAATTTGACTGGTATAATGAAAAAGCACTTATTTTCAAATAGTGTTAGAATGTTTAATAATGGAATAAACTAAATAATAATATTTATAATAAAGTAAATCATCAAATAAAGCAAATTAATAAAATTTAAAATGTTTAGATTTTACCCCATTTTCTTTTGCTAAATATGAAACAAATAAAAATCATCAGAAGAACTACAGCTAGAAGTCTAACAAACCTTCCTAATGTTTACTATTAGTTCACTACACACTCACTCTGTGGTCTGTTTAGATAGTGATGGTCTTAAAGCTGTATTTGCATGTGTTTTGATTACAAAGTTGGAACTGTTTACTACCGTCTGCAGCTCCAAGTGTTGCTGGTGTACACTGACTTGTAGGTTTGCTTCCCTGTGGGCCTCTTGTACTCAGTGGGGGACACAGAGAAGGCCTCAGTCGCAGGCCTCCGAGGCTGCCAGGGTTTGGGCAGGGAATTGTAATCACCGCAGTCGGCGGAAGTGGTGATCACGTTTGGAGTCTTTGTTAGTGACACAAATGCCCTCCTCTGACTGTGGCTTTGACCGTAGCCCCAAGTCTGGCTGCCTTTTTTCTGAGAGGCCTGGTAAGACACCTTGGACTTCCACTCTGCTGGAGGCTCAGGCAGCATCTTGCGTTGGGCTGCCAAGCAGATATTTGAGGCAAGGGACTGGTGGAGGATCCGAGGAGAAAAGGCCTCATCCACTAGGCCCAGGGGGTGTCTGGAGGCTGCCTCCCAGGGAGAAAGGGGTTTATGTCCCTTCTCCAACCAGGATGTCTGCCTCGGCAGAGGAGTTGTTGAGGACTGAGTTAGAGGATTTGAAGAAGAAGCAGTAGATGCTGACTTCTGGCCTTTGAATGGAATTCTGACTGGTGGAGTAAGTGAGTAGCTTCTTCCAGGTGCCTGTGAAGAAAGATCAAGAAATTTATATAATAATTCCACTTTAATGGACTACGTTGCAAGCTAAATCAAGTATAGTCTAAAAACAACAGAGTACATTTTTATGGGTTGATTTCTTTTGGTATTTGTTCATGTGAAAAATATTAAAATTGTGCAACAAATGTGTTTAAAATGTTTTTCTCCTTTGCATAAAATGACCCCGGTATATTTCTCAAATATCTGTATTTTTAAAAATTTAAATGCAAAAGAACATGAGTAAAAAAAAAAAAATCATAATCTTCAGTGGTTTACAGGCGTGCCAAAACGCTGTAGTGCAATAGAAAGAGCAGTGCTGCCATCTTCTGGTCAAAGCTATGTAAAATCAGCAGTCGGCAAAAGAAGACAAATGAGCAGAGGAGAAACGTGTGCAGACATGAAACAAAGAAAAGGAGCTGATTCAGGGTAAAATACACTCTCTGCTGACTTATGTATCTGGCACTTTTATCTAGGATTGAGGAGGACTGAAAAATTGATGAATAGACAGTCTTTATTTCTGTTCCACAAAAAATCATGAAACAATACATGATATTTACTTCTCACGTGGGTTAAAGTGCATTTCAAAGTTGGCTTGATTTCCCCTGGGTCTAAGAGTTACCAAAGTTCAGTAAATGTGTACGCATATGATATGCTTCTGTTATGTATTTGTAAATTAAATTACTTTTTTTTTCTTTAAATGCATATAAAGTGAACTTTCAAGACAAGGAAGCATCAGCTCCTATCACATCAGCTGACGTCAGTTTCCTCCAAATATAGCTGTAGAAATCTGTCAAATTGACACACTTTACAAATAACCACTCCCTTCTAAAAATGCATGACGCAACATGGATATGGATTTCACTTGACCTCCAGAGTTATCCAGTGAGGTCTCCTCTTAGTGAAATCACCAGGGTAATAATAGCCT